ATTCTTATTTTAATTTATAAGTTTTAGTTTTAATTTATAATTTATAATTACATTTGCCCCATGTTTTTGTTTTAATTTATAAGTTCTTGTTTTAATTTATAATTTATAATTACATTTGCCCCTTGTTCTTGTTTTAATTTATAAGTTCTTGTTTTAATTTATAATTTATAATTACATCTGCCCCCCGTTATTCTTTTAATTTATAAGTTCTTGTTTTAATTTATAATATATAATTTATTTATAATTTATGGCAAATTTATTTGTTTTAATTAAGGGTAATTTTTTTTTAATTGATTATTTTATGCTCATTCTTTAAATTGATTATAATTTTTTTTTTTTGTAGATGGATTCGTAATTTGACAGTTCTTTTACTCATTTGCTTATGAACGACACCGATTTATATGATGATGCTATGCAGACCAATCCCACAGTATTGGCGCCAGTACAAAATGAAGTCGCTCCAAGAGTGAGAAAATCTCAAAGGACAAAAAATTTCTCTCTAGAAGAAGATTAATTAATTGTCTCTACGTGGCTTAACACGAGTAAAGATGCAATTACTGGGAATGAACAACAAGGTGGTACTTTCTGGCAAAGAATATTGCAATACTTAGAACTTCATGGAGGCAATCAAGAAGAGCATTCGCAATCTTTTATTAAAAGTCGTTGGACTGATATAAATGTAAAATGCGACAAATTTGTCGATTTTTATAGTCAAATTGAAATACTGCAACAAAGTGGACACACTGAGTAAAATAATGTAATGAATAAACTTTTAATTTAGACACTACTATGATTTGATATTTGAATTATTGACTGAATAATTTCATATGTTTTTCAGGTCAATGACGCAAAAGAAATGTTTGCTAAGATTATTGGAAAATTATTTCAATACGAGCATTGTTAGAATATATTGAAAATGGAGCAAAAATGGACTGATAATCTTACCAACAATAAGAGAGCAAAAACTCATGAGACTGGTAGTCCTGCTGAATCAACTCGTGTTAAATCTTGTTATTCAACTCCATATTTAGGGTATGACACTGAACCCTCGTCCACTCCCAACCTCGATAGGCCATTGGACAGAAAAGCTTCAAAAAAATAACTTAAAAATAAAGAGAAGCAAACTGGTGTTGAAACATCACTAGATCATCACCACTAGAATGAAAGAATGGAAGTGGAAAGACAAAAAATTGAGCGACACGACAAAATTTATGCTCAACAGGAGATAGCATTGGAGCAACATCGTAGCCAATTAGAAATTGAAGAAAGGCAGGTGCAAGAAATTGAAAGGCAGAATGAAATGAAAATCATGGAAACTGACACTACTGGCATGGACCCAATTTTTGCATCACATTGGAATAACCTAAAGATAGAGATTATGAAAAAGTTGGGCTTTAATTTTTAGTCATTATTTATTATAATGTTATTATTTATGAAAAACTATGTATTGAAAATACAACTTGAAATTAAAATTGGAATTGAAAGTACAACTTGAAATTGAAATTGAAATTGAAAATACAACATAATATGGTCATTGAAATTGAGAAAATTATTAGTCGTCATGTCGTTCCCACAAATGCTCGATAAGATTTGACTACAGTTGAGAATGAGTAACATTGTCCATGATCTGACAATGGGTTTGCATGAAGTCTTCCAATTCTGGTGTATACGCATGCGACACTTCTACAGACAAATTTGTATCACATCCATCAAAGTCATTGTTACCAATATCTCCTTCATCTTCAATGACCATATTATGCATTATTATGCACGCTTTCATAATATCTGCAAGTGTTTCTTCATCCCAAAAGCTTGTTGGTCCACGCACGATTGTAAAACGGGCTTGAAATATCCCAAATGCCCGCTCTACATATTTTCTTACCGACTCTTGTGCTTTAGCAAAATATTTTTTCTTCAAACCTTATGGACAGGGAATTGTTTTTACAAATATCGACCAGTTTGGATAAATACCATCAGCTAGATCATATCCCATTGTATACTCATTGATATTAATTATATAGTTGACCAGAGGAACATGACCATTTGCTAATAATGCAAAAACATGAGACCTATCTAGAACATTTATGTCATTCAGCGAACCAGCAAGCCCAAAGAATGCATGTCATATCCAAAGATCTTGAGAAGCCACAGTTTCTAAAATGATTGTTGGTTCATGACAATGACCAGTATATATACCTTGCTACACGGTAGGACAATTTTTCCACTTCCAATGCATGCAATCAATACTCCCTAACATGCCGGGAAAGCCACGTTGTTCCCCCGTCTGTAGCAATCGAGCAATATCAATATTGTTTAGTGACCTCAGGTAATGGTCGCCAAACATTGCAATCACAGCTTTCACAAACCTTCTCAGACTCTGTATGGCAGTGCTTTCTCCAATTCTGATGTATTCATCCACAGAATCTGTCGGTGTTCCGTAAGCAATAATTTTATAAGCAGCTGTTATCTTTTGAAAGGATAATAAACCGAGAACTCCGACGGTATCTGTTGTTTGGATGAAGTATGGATCGTGTTGTTCAACCTCATTTACAATTTAGAGAAAAAGAGGATAACTCATTCGGAACCTACTTCAAAAGAAACCTTCTTATACACAAAGGGTAACAAAATAGTCACGATAAAGTCTTTCGTGACCTTCACCTCTACCACGATTAACTATTTTGTGGCCTGGAACGGAACCACGATACCTTCTTATCCGTCCCTAATTAGACCCTTCTAACCTTCTAATTGCAGTATACAACATATCCAAGTCATCATTATCTTCTTCTTCAATATTGAGGATCTCTCCTAAAATATTAGGATAACGATTCATGTAACTTGATGAATGAAAATATGAAAGGATAAATAGTCAAAGAGAAATGAGATATTGAATTTATACAGAGAATGTAAGATAGATGGATGAAAACATAAGAAAAATGATCATAATTATAGACGAATTATACTTTTTTTTTTTATTTTGGCAGTTAAATTTTCAAATTTGAATTTCAAAGGTTGAAATTTGAATTTCGGCAAACAAAATTTAAAATTTGAAATTTTGTCCACCAAAATTTCAAATTTTAAATTTTTACTATAAAAATATATCCGTTAAATTGCAATCGTTATGAAAACTATACCCGTTAAAATATAACCGTTAAATTTAATTATATTTTTTAATAAAAAATATTGAAATATTAAAATGACACTCCATTTTGGCACCTACCATTAGAGCAGAAACACTGTTCAGGGGTGCCAAAACACTGTTCAAGGTTGCAAAATGGCATTTGACACCCCATTTTTGGCAACTCCCCTTGGAGTTGCTCTTACCTTCAAATCTCTCACTCAGTGTTATTTAAGGCATAAAGCAAACCGAACCGACCAAGGCTTCTAAAGCCTAGACGAGAAGCGAAGCAAAACAAAACGCTTTACCAAAGCGAAGCGAACAGTTAAAAAAAAGTAAATATTTTAGTTTATTTACTTCTAAATATCTAAATTCTAATTTTATATATACTAAATATTTAAATACAAGTAAAATCATAAATATTTAAATTAAAACAAACACTAATAATATCTCAAATCTTAATAACAATCATAGTTTAAACATTTAAATTTAAACAAACACTAATAATATCTCAAATTCTAATATTGTTAAACTATATCAACCACAGTTGTTTTTGTAAATCTATTTTTATGTACATTTGCAGGCTTGAACACATGTACTGAATCCCATTTCATAATAGGTGTAAACAATTTCATATTGTCCGGTGTTAAAGCTTGGATCATCAAAACAAAGAGTGACTATATGAGATAACAGCAGAAGCAATACAACACTATCAGAATAGCAGTAGCAGAAGCAGAACAGCAAAATAGTAGAAGCAAAATCAGCAAAACAGTAGAAATAGAAAAAAAAAACAGAAGCAGAATCAGAAAAAAAAAAAAAAAAAAAACTAAAAGAGAGAAGAACCAAAGAAGAAACGGACAAACAGAAGAGAGAAATAGAAGAACCAGAGAAATAGAAGAGAGAAGAAAAAGAGAAAGATACAAACCTGTGTGTCTGACCAGCAGTCGTCTGTGTCCAGCGAGGAAGGAGAAGCAAAAGCCAACAATTGTGTCTAATCATCTGAGCAAAATTAGGATTTTGGGGCTGTATTTATGGGATAAAGGGGATAATTCGGTGTATGGACATCTTATAATTTTTTTTCCAATTGCCCAATCCAACGATCCATAATAAAAATAAAACAATGTAAGACAACTTCGCCTCGCATGACTAAGGTGTTCACTTTCTCGCCTTTTGCTTAAGTGCAAGGCGCTCGCTTTTCTCTCTTTTTTCTCGGTTCAGTCACATTCATTTCGCCTGAAGTGTTCAATGCGAGACACCCTTGCTTTACTTCTCACCTAGGCGCTCGCCTAGACGAGCTTTTCAAAACACTGCTCCTACAGAAAGCCCACCTTTAATTTTAGTTCTTGGCACAATCTACCAATTTACCAAATGATCCTTCTTCCCTTCACCATTTCCTTCCCACAAGAAATCTCTCATCATTTGCTCAATTCTCATTACAATCTCCCCTGGCATCTTAAATAGAGAAATAAAATAAATAGGTATATTTCTCAGAACTTCCCATCTATATAATAAATCAGCTAGCAAGTTGAATCTTTATCCACTATATATTTTCTCCCTAAAAAATATCACATCACTCAATTCTATCACATGTTCAATCATTTAAAATTTAGTTAATAACATAATTTTTATTTTATATATTATTCATACACGATAGTGATGTTGAGAAAAAAAAATTGGATTATGTATTTTGAAAAAAAATTGTCGATATTTTTAAGAAAATAATGGATAAACATAGATTTTAAATGATGTAATCAAAGACATGAAGGAAAAAAAATATTATTTAATATAGTGGGATAAATTCTTTTGGGCATTCAAATTTTATATTTCATCGTGCCTTCAGGCACGGGTTATGACTAGTTTATTCATATTCTAAATTGCAATATGTTCAAATTAATGAAGNTCGCAAGGAAGGATTAACTCTGATAACATTGCCAACAGTGACCCCTCTAATCCTAACAGGCGTTCCAGTAGAAATCCCACAAGCCTGAGCAAACTCAAACACAGCCAAATACTTCCTGAATTTCGACCGCAATTGAAACCCCCTCAACCAAACCAAACTAAGAGCAAGGAGAACCGTGCCAGATACAAGAAACAAACCTACCCCACCTTCCCAAATACTCCGCCTACCAAACCCAAAATCACTCAATGGCCTCAAAGTTTGCCTCCAAATTTTCTTAGGAACATCTAAAACAACTGAAAGGGGGTTCTTCGGTTCAGAAGAGGAAGTGGGTTGTTGGCTGTGACCTATCTCGGTAGAAGAAGCTCTTACATTAAGAACTTTTTTTCTTGGTCTAGGAGGTAGACATAGCGAAAAATTCACAGACCCAGTTCCAGTTGGTCTGATCAGATTTGAAGAAAAAATGCCGGGGCTTGTTGAGACATGGACTAGTGAATTCCCAACCATCTTCTCACACAGTTGCAAGCTCAACTTAAACCAAAGCACTTCTCCAATACTGCAGCGAACTTTCAGACGGTCCCAATCGCGATCGAAATCTTAATTGGCTTGTTCTTAATCTGAAGTCATATTGAAGGAAGAGTGGCAAACTTACCATAACCCTATACAAATATTTTTCGAATAAAAAATCTACAATTCAGAAGCTGTTGATTCATATCAGAAAGGAAACAGGTCCATAAATTCAGAGAAATATATTCAAAATATAGAGATCTGAGAGAGAGTACCATTTTAGACTCTGGGTTCCGAGATGCCTATCAAAAAATTTTCCAGGTTCCGAGAGCTCTTGTTTCTGAAGTCGGCCCGTTCCAAACTCTAGGGCTGTGGATGGCAATGTCAGAGACAGGGAATTGGGTTGGTTTTAAATGATAAGTTGGGTTATGCCGATTATAGTGAGACATGTCCATTACACCTTGACTATTTTGAATATAAAACATCTATATATAATAAGGGATAAGAGGTTTTAAATTTTTAATGTCTTCAGTTTTTTCATCATTCAGATTATTGATTCAACGACTGAAATTCTTCCAATAAATTATTTTTCTAGCCTCTCAATCTCTCTCTCCCCCACCGCAACAATATGTTTGTCTTTCACCCTCTCTCTCACACATTACTTCTCTCTCAACCAGCGACATTGCAA